CTTTTAACCACATATTTTCCCATTGATCCATCTGTATATTATAACCAAAATTCTTAGCCCATTTTATCATACATTCTTTAACATGTTCTTTCTCTGTTTCAAATTTCAACAAAAGTGTATACATTTTAGCAATTACGTGTTCACCATCGGTGCACAATTTTACTTCAAATTCTATCTTACTTTGCTCCATACCATAAGTCTTTTTATCCATTTTGAATCTTCCTGATAACTGTAAATGGTTATAGCATTTACAGTCCTTGAAATCCTTCTGCTATTAGTTGCTCTCTTGATTTAATCTTATATTCCCCTTGATGACTTTCCAATAACTCCTGGTATATTAACTATTTGTCTTTGCCTGATGTTTCTCTTCTATGAAATTGCTTCTTGTACTGAGATCCAGAGGTATTTTCAGGCACAATCTGGGTTTATATTGATTCCTTATTCTCAATATGGCACATCTAATAAAATGATTTTTAAAGTCCACATTAATTTTAACTTTATTGTACCGTAAGTATCCATGCCATCCAAACCTCAGGTCATGATCTTCTAACTCTAAGAGTCTCTTGTTTCTCAGCAACATGCATTCTTTCATCCAGGCCAAACAACAAGCTGCAAAATACAATTTAAAATCCAGTAAACTCAATCCTCCTCTTTCCTTTGCATCTTGTAACACTTTATATTTAACTCATATTTTTTTCCCTTGCCATACAAATTTAGATATATCTTTTTGCCATTGTTTGAATGGTACATCAGTTGTCAAAGCAGGTATTGTCTGAAACAAAAATATGATTTTTATCACAGAAATCCTCCATAACAGTGACAATTTTAATTTCTCCCATCTTAATGTGTCCTTATTCCATGTCTTAACATAGTTATTTTGAAATAACATATAATTCATATTTGTCATAGTAATACTGAAGTATTTTACCGTATTTTTCCGACAATAAGACGCCCCCATGTACAAGACGACCCCCACTTTTCCAGCCCAAAATTAAAAAATCAGTA